GGCTAATAACAACATGCTAGCAATCCACGTGCTTTCTAAAACTTCACATCCTGAAACACAGTCGCTGACAAATGGCCAAAAATAACAACAAGTGTGGGTGAGACAGACTCAAGTGTAGAGGCCGCTGTGAGTTGACTTTCATATAAATAAGACTGCAACCAACTGGCGCCGGAAAAGGACGAACAAGGAAACTTCTTGTGTTTAACTTTCAGGTGTCATTGTAACCTCTTTAACTCCGTGCTGACCAATACGTCTGCGGTCGACATTTCTGTCTTTGAAAGGCTGTAACAGGCACTTTTAAAGGGAAAGGAGGCTAAATAACGCTCCAAAGTTAGGCAGCATTTTGGTATTTTATGAAAACCGTCGGCAGAGATTGAGAAAGTTCGCTAGCATCATCCAAACCTTCACACAACCTTCAAACAACCCAGCTGCCCTCCAGCAGCCTGCAGCAGCTCGTACATTAGTCAGTGATCAACCCCAACACAAGCCGCATCGTAAGGAGCCAACACAAACCTCTTTAAACCAGCTAAAACCAGCAGACGTTTGCCAGCCTGCAGCAGAGATACCCTGACAATCAGCAGGCCTGTAGATCGCTGTGGAACCGCTTATCATTCGCTGTAACAGCAGAGACTTGAGGCTGCGTTGTTATTGTGTGTCAGTATAATAATAAGACAGATCCCAGGGCCATTCTGCTATCTGGGTCTTATCAGGAGTGGAGGGACCGCAGGAGGCGAGCCCAGCACCAAGGCCTGATGTCTGGGCTGTGTTAGACAGGCAGTGGCTTTATGTGCGAAATCTTCATTTCTAACGCATTGCTCACAGCGTCTGACTGCAGACACACAGCTGTCTCACTGACATCATTCGTTCCATAATGTCTGCTCTCCCTCGAAGAACTGAAGCCAAAGTGACCTCGCTTCTCAAAAATGCCCTCGTTCGGAGAGAGACTCGAGTCGGTTCTCACAGGGATAACTCGCACCCTCCCTGACCCAGATTCTAGACATCGACACCAAACCTTTCTACTGCTCGCAGTCACGAAAGAAAAGAAGCTCCTGAAAGGGGAAATGCTTGTTTTTTCAGGCTAATTCTGGTCAGTTCCTCGAAGAAATGTTGCCCTTAAAAATGACCTTCCAGAAACCAATTATCAAAGTAGCTGCCGATGAATTAAACCCTGATCAGACGCCACCCACACCTACTCCTGCTGGTCTGAGGTCGATCCTCCCGCCCAACCCTCAAGGCAGATTCTCTCTCGGGGTCAAAGCACACTCACATACTTTAGTTCGAGGCGTATCTAGGGAAGGAATTTGTCCCAAAAAAAGACAAAGGAACATCAGATATTAACCAACTGTTTCTTCTATGTACTGTATAGAGATATTCCTGTGCTTCACTGAGAGTTTATTCACCATTACAGTCTGCATGCACAACAGAAACATGGCTTTAAAACAGTCGACAACATTATCGTATATTTGAATTGTTCTTCAGACACTAATGTGACGAGGGAGGAGTGATGGTTAACGGATGTAAACAACAGGATGTGAGAGAATAACAGTCGGCGTGACATCCAGCAGTGTTTGTTCTGCACCCACAGACCAGGGCAGGAACACACACACACAGAGTCACTGCAGCTCCGTTACAGAGCTGAGTGTTTAACACCGCGGTCCTCAGACCTCCGTCAGTCCGCAGACCTCCGTCAGTCCTCAGACCTCCGTCAGTCCCAGGAACGCTGCATCCTTCAACAGAAGAAGACCTAATGTTTGCAGAGGCACGACAGGAAATGTGTTCAAAATAAAGAGTCAAAGTTCAGAACGATGAGTCAGTTGTTATCTGTGCTGATATTAGTGTGTGTGTGTGTGTGGACACAAGTAACCTCAAACAGAGATGATTAGGAAAAGCAGACGAATGGGACGAGCCACAGGAAGCCAAAATGCTCTCCTGTTTCCCTCTTAGGTCCCCCTTCTTGTAAAATCCCCCCACCCCCCTTCTGGTTCCTGAAGCTTTCCAAACACACACACACACACACAGTGACACGAACTTTCCAGACTTGCTCTGTCACACTGACCGATCACTGAGGACAACCCCCCCCACTCTCGCCACATCCAAACCCACACTGACCCTCCAGATGTTACACAATGACGCTGATATCAGCTGTTATTAGGCTGATGTGGAGCTTTTATATCTAGAATACCAGAATAAGGTTATTCTAAATGTCCTACTATAAGACAATTCAATAAAAACTACAGTTTCTTCCTCTGTGCCGTAAAGCTCACAGCACATCACCGAGCCACAGAGCTGGTGTTCCTGTATCACCATGAACACACACACACTGTGTTACTGGTTATTATGGTCCCACTGCTCTTTAAAGACTGTCTAATATAATGTAGTTCACACTGAACCATCATATTGTCCTGAGACTGTGTTATATGACTGAATATGAAACAGCTGGTTGATTGTTAATAATATAATCATTTAAAGTTTATTATGATATGGTAACGTATCATCAACTCAATGTTTGGTTCTTTACTTCCTGTCCTCAGACACAGACGTCAGGTTTGTGTCTAACATAAGCACAGCTGTCTCTCCCTCTCTCTCTCTCT